TTTTTTTTTGGAAAGATTCAATATTCATTATAAAAAAAAACATGGGACGAGGCCGGGGACCTCACAATTCAACCCGGAGTTATCCTGGCAGCATCAGCCAGTTTCGCTTACAAGCCACAGAGAAAGCAGACCCACCTCCATTGCTGGTCCATCACTTCTACTGTTAGAAACCAGGTCCAACGTCCCATGCTAAATCCAGAGTCTTTCCAAAAGCCTTGAAGCGCTGGTAAAAAGGACTGCATTTGCAGTCAGGTTGTTACATGTACCAAGCTAAGATACTAGCCTTGAAGCTCATAATCTCAAGAGATATTCAAGTTCATCTAATCTTAATCAGTATCCCCTCTCTGACAACCAACGAGGAGAGGGCAGACCACCATCTGTAAAAGGACTTGCACATCCTTGTGCCTACCTCTGATTACCCAGTGTGGTCAATTCTATCTCTTTGCAAAATACTTAAGCCTAACACGGCAACGTCTGTAAGGCCTATCTGCGACCTCTTACAATCCGCGAGCTCTCAATCATGAGTGTCAAAGAGCCAGGAACATAGGGAGAGCTGGCCCTGTTGTGAGACAGTGGCAAACCTACTATTCAGAGCCCATGTCTTTTTTACCCTTTGTTTCAAATTATTTATTTAATTGTTTATATTTCCATTTCCCATCATGCCTACGAATCTCGAGCCCTGCAGTGGCAAATTCTCCCTCGGTGTCAGCCTACTCTCGATTGGCTTGTATCGAAAAGAGATCTAGAACAGAAGGTATACTATCCCCGATCTGCATCTACTGCGGTAAGGCAACACCGCCGGGCCGGGCAACATTGGAACAATTCTTGCTGGCTTGCCCAATGGTCACCCAGCTGTGGCAGTGATGGGACGGGGCCTTCCACTCGCTAACAGGGCTACACATCCCGTGTGACCTCGGCCTATTACTGCTTAGCAAAAACCAGCATCTGCTGGCCTATTGCAAGAGCATCAGTCAACTGCCTCCTTGGGCGTCAGATACAACACAACAGAGGCAGCGACGACATAATAAGGGCCCGGGAGGGGAGAGGAGTAGAGTAACAGGCCTGGCAAAAACCAGCATCTGCTGGCATATTGCAAGAGCATCAGTCGACTGCGTCCTTGGGCGTCAGATACAGATACAACAGAGGCAGCGACGACATAATAAGGCCCAGGGAGGGGAGAGGAGGAGAGAGAGCCCATAGTGGATATATATGGCCATGGCTATAGTGTTTCTTGTTTCCTGCTGCTTTTTCATGTCTCAGGGACCAAACAAAATGTAGATCAGCGGGGTCTAAAACCCCATAACTCTGCTCATTACAGTAAATGCTGTTTAATGTCAAGGGCCGCTGGACCCAGTTTTCAGCAGGTGCAGCTCCCCACCAATGGAACGAAGCCATCAAAAACTGGAGGCAGTAGAGGGAGTGTCTGCTCTTACCAGCACCCCCTTTACTTCCCGTTGCCGATGTTAAAAAAAAAGAAAAGAAAAGAAAAGAAAAGAGGACTTGAAGCTGCTTTTGCTACAATGCCACTGCAAGTCATCCTTAGATTTTGTAATTGGCACTTACCGTCTCCTCTGCATGGCCTCCTTGTCACAGATGTCACAGCAAAACTGTTCTTCCTAACACTCAAATAGGGCTACGGAGCAGCACAGGTTCTAGCACAACAACACCGCAAGCCCATTCGGAGGTCTGCACACCAAAACAATGAAAACAAGTATGCACAAACAAAATTGTCCATTTCATTAGCCATATTAACTGGTTTGCTTGCCTGCTGTTGCCCTCTCTTCCTTGTCTTATTTTCTAGTAATCACCGGAAAATAACGCCCGGGTGTTATATTCAGTAAATTGGTGGCAACTTCGGTGGGGGCTCAAAATTCCGAAAAAACAAAACAAAACAAAAAATCTATAAAAATATGTTGTCCAGAATTGCAATGCGACCATCTTTTGGCTGAGGCTCACTACACAATTCCTTACTCGCTAAGTGCCCGCGGGCAGTGTGGGCTACGCCCGCAGAAATAACAAATGCAGTGGGTGATCTCACACTGCATTTCGGATGGCTCGCCTCCAAGATGTTCGTCCGCAGAAACAACGACGGCCTACCGGCGGGCAGAAAACGACAGCCGTGCAAAAAAGAAGGGAGGGGGAAAAAAACAAAACAAGGGGGGACATAAAACGACAGCCAACCGGGGAAACCAAAACAGAAAAAAGCCGCCCGCATATCAGATGGCTCGCCTCCAAGATGTTTGTCCGCATCAACGCCAGCCGTGTGCTCCGCCCCCGGGGCGCGCGCTCCCGTTTAATGGCGCGCTGTGAACATTTCGGTATGCGCACCCTTCTGCACACTCCCCCACCCTCGATCGCCTTCATCCGCCGGCCCTCACCAGAACTTCAACCCGAATCCGGCGCGCAGCGTGTCATGGACCTCCTCCCCCCGACCAATGCTGCTTAAGGGATAGGGTAAACTCAACATTAACAATAAAAACAAAAAATCAAATCGAAATATACCCCTTGGAAGTCAAACCCTCTTTCAACCCCCTTTAAAACGCATGTATACCCCCCTCCCCACCCTTTCAAACCCATGTATACTACCTCTACAAGACACTCTGCCCACGGAACATTCAAATATAACGCCTGGGCTTTGTATTCGAATATAATACGTGGGCTTTGTATTTGAATATAAAGCTGTTCTATTTGAGGAAAAGAGAGTTAAAACGAAAATCTAATCTTTTTAGGGTAAGTTGAATATAATGCCCGGGCGTTATTTTGGGGGTGAAGACGGTAGTGGTATTTCACTGGGTAATGGGCCCGGGGTTTCAATTTCTTTCCTTGTATTTTCACGAGGGACACTAAAAACTAGTCGTGTTTCACTTGTGCCGCAAAGCTCGCAGGTATGCTACATCTCTCAAGTCATTCAACAGAGTCGAACTAGAGTCAAGCTCAACAGGGTCTTCTTTCTCCGCCGATTCTTCCAAGCCTGCTCCCTTGGCTGTGGTTCAGCAGCATGGCAGGTAGGGACAGTGGGTTAGGAAAAACAAAATTGAACTTATTTCCTTTCCTTCAACCCAACCCTCAGGAACAGTAAGCACCCAGCACCAAGATGGATCCCAAGCATTAGTTTTGTAGCTTTGTGCTTGAGATGTGTGTGATATCAAGTCCTCAGCAACCAGTCTTCACAAATTTCCAGAGATGCATTCCAAAGCTTCCCAGCCTAGTGCACTCTTGAGCACAGGACCCAGGTATCCTCAACATGGATACTTAAAAACCACCAGTAGGTCTCCCACCCATTTTCCTCCAACAAGGCAGTTATCGACCAGAGCTAAATGGCTGGCGGTGCGAGCCAAAAATGAAAACGCACAGGTTTGTTCTTTCGTGGCACACAGGGCGTATCTATGCTCGGCAAAAGAAGGGTTACAACTCCTGTTGGATTAACAAAGATTACTCAGCATACAACGCATCAAGACAGTGAACAAGGACACCGAAGGTAAAAGACAGACTGTTAGACAGACTGTTTCATTGGATGCGTACTAGCTCATAGGAGGCTGAAGACGCTGAACCCTTGACACTCTGCAGAATCGCCATATTGATATGCTTTGAATCATAGTCTACTTCAATCACTGTTGCAATCAGAGGAGAGAACTAAGTAGACGCCTTCCTCGCGCGATTGCAAAAGGCCTTTCCAAACAGCAAAGAAAAAGGCTCGAACAGTCACTCAGAAGAACGGCGGTTTGGACAGCTCTTATGCAGACGGCGGAGGAGAGAACCCCTGGAATTGATAGTCTCCCGAAATAAGTTTGGGAAACCTTCTAGGGGACTTTTGCCCCCGATTTGATGGCCTGCTATCATGATGGGAAGCGGGGCAGATGGGGGAGATGGTAGGCCAAGGGTCCTCTCGCTACTCTATAAGACAGGAGAGAAAACAAACATGCGGAACTACAGGCTGATCACATTTCTCATCGTGGTCCACAAATTAGTACAAAATGCTCTCTAAAGCTAGGCTACCAGAGTGGCCTGGGGCCACTTGCCCGGTATATATATATATATCTATTTGTTGTCCTCTTCTCTCTCTCTGCCTACGGTTTACCGGGCAGTTCTATTTGTGACGATATATATATATATATAAATGTATTTTTTGTAACTTTATTTTTTCTTTTAAATATGGTAAAGAAGTTCGATGTGACCCTGTTTTTCTGCATAACATTTTTTTTTTTCGTTTTTTTTTCCCCTTTTTTCTTTTCTTTTTTTGCTAGGACTATCCCTGGTCCTTGCACGGCCGGGCCGTCCGGGAAAATAGGGCGACCCAGGCGGCCCGGCTGGTAATCCCCAAACTAGAAGGAATAATTCACCCGACTCAAACAGGTTCCATGCGCATCTGGGGACTGACCCCAGATGCGGCCGATCACCCGACCACTCGAGAGAGAAAAAAACTCAGACAAAGCATGCTAGTCGAGGTCGAAGAAGCCTCTTCTTTGACTTCGAGAAGGCCTACGACCAAGTCAACTAGGATTTCCTTCATGCCTGCATGGAAAAAATGGGAGTCAGCCCGAATTTCAGAAAGTGGGTCAGGGTACTGTACGCTGACACAACCGACAGAGTGCAGGTCAATAGGATCCTATCGGAGACCTACCCCATCTCCAGGTCTGTACAACGAGGAGATCCCCTAGCACCCCCCATCATGGAAGCCATAGCATCCTTCCTCCGCAAAGACCCGTCTATGGGCCGGCTAATCGAACAGAATTTCAACCCACTGCACGACTTCACCCTACCCACTGCACTAATGTTCGCAGATGATTTCACGGTCCTTGTCTGCGCCAAAAACAACTCTTTCCAAGCTCTCGCCAGGGCTATGGAGGCTTTTCGACTAGTGTCCGAGATGAGAGTAAACTGGAACAAAACCGAAGGATGGTGGCTAGCAGAAGGGACACCCTCCCAACCTGAGGACACAACGACACCTATATCGTGGGCCACATGCGAACAGGCAATCCAATATCTAGATATCATGGTCAACAAAGACAGCGTGTGGCCAGGAATGGGTCAGGGCCTAATTGCCAAAGCAATAACTCGCCTGGCCCCGTGCAAAAACGCACAGGCATCGCTGATCGGGAGGGCACTAATAATAAACACAACTATCTTCTCTACCTTATGGTACATGGCATCTATCTGGTCTCCCCCTGACGACGACCTCCAAACTATAAAGGCCAAAGCAAGATGCTACCTTTGGACAGGCGACCCCAACTGAGCCTCATGCATAAATAAGGTAGCATGGAGTCACATAACTAGGAAACCGCAGGAGGGAGGACTAGGCCTAATTGCCCCCACACAAGAGTCAACAGCACTGTAGATGAAATGGATCGTCAAGATCCCGACCAGACAATACCTACCATGGACCAAGATGGCCCTAGACAGCATAAGAAACCTAGCACCGACAAGCTCCCCATCTAACATGAGTGGCGATTTTTGGATTATGGCAAAGGAGTGGATGATAAGATCAGGCAGATCCCGTAGGAGCACCACACGAGACACAGGAAACCAAGCTGCCCCAACGGCTAATCCATACTGGACCCCGACTTTGAAAGCATGGCGACGAATGATGCCAAGCAAACACGGCACAACGGAGAACAAAGAAGAGGTCCTGAGACAACCCCTATTCTGCAACCCATGGATCAAAGACCCCGAGGGCAATCCTTGGACACTTCGTTCAAAAGAGAAAAGATGGTTATCCCGGGTGGAGAAAGGAGTGTGGCAGGTAAAACACCTGTGGGCTGAAGAACCGGGCCATTGGCGTACAGAACAAGAACTCCACTCCGCCCTAAAAGGGTGCCACTCCCTCGCAGATAACTTAACCCAAATCCAGAAGAGCATCCCACCAAGTTGGCTCACCCTGTTGAAAGACGACTTCTCCTGGAAATCAGGGGATTGGGGTACAGTCATATCCCAGATCTCACCCAACAGAGCATACCCATTCGTATCCCGCACCTCAGCCACCAGCTACCTCGCCAAATTTTACTCCTATCCCGTCGCCAACCACAACCTCCAGGCACTGGCCATCCTCAACACAGAACCTCAGATGGAGATGATTGAATCTTCCAACCTGACCACAACATTTCAGAGCTCGAATTCGATCCAAAAGAGTGGGTATGGGGAAAAGGCAATTCCGAGAAAAAAGAACGATACTTGAATATGACGTAAAACTTGGGTACAACCTAGGCTTACAGACTACAGACCCAGACCCCAAACTAAAAAACAGATGGAAAGAGACCCTGAATCTAGAGCCGACAGCCCAACGGTTTTCAGGCCAAAAGCCTGAATTTCAGGCCGAAAGCCTGAAATCCAGGGCTTATAGGCCCCATGTCGGTTCAGGCCGAAAGCCTGACTTTCAGGGCCTACAGCCCCTGCGACGGTTCAGACTAAAAATGGTAATAGCATTTTTAGCCTGAACCCAAGGGCCATTTTTGGTCGTTCATCAGAACGACCGGCCCTGAAACTCAGGCACCGAACCAGGGTTTTGGGGAACAGCCTATATATAGACTGTTCCCACGCCAGCCTCAAGCAGGCTGCTGCACGCCAGCCCCTGGCACACTTCGGCATTGGCAAGAGCTGCCTCCTCGGCCTGACTGGCCTCCAGTAGTCAGG